TTCCTCAATAAAAGCAAATGACTGGCTCAGATGGATGTAATGCAAACAATTCCATCTGTGTGGACATGATGAAATGGACATGCCCAATCCATGGTTAGCAGAAGGTGGCGATGCTCAGAGCTCTGCAGCAAGTGATTGAATCCAAAACATTTCCAAAGAATTAAATTAAAATGATTTATCTAGTGATTTTTTTTATCTGAAGATATATTGAAATGCCACACACTTAAGTTTTTGTTTTTTACGCATCTGGTTTATATTGCATGCCAAATTTATAATAAATAAATAAATACTGTCAGTATTACTGTACCTGTTTCACTTGCAAAATATCTTTAATATTATTAAATGGTATTATAATCCCATTCAATAGTAATCCTTTTGAAGCAAATATGTGACCCAGATTTAGAAAACAAATAGTGAGGATTAATTTTGAAATATGTAATGTGCGAAGTTGATAGTACAGTATGAAAATGTGGCTCAATATATACAGGAACAACTATTTTAATATATGGCTTTGTACAGTCTTGTGTAAAGTTATTCTATGAAACTGCTTATTTTTTTAATGTCTAGATTATACCTATGTCTGCATGCTGATCAATTTGGTATTGGAATTTAAGAAAAAGCTTCAATTTTTTTGCTGTACACCATTTTTTGTTTAGTATTTTAAAATACAGTAGTTGAACTTGCCTATGTCATATCCAAAATGCCAATAAGAAATTGTTTGACCCTAACAAAATTTGACTTGCACTTACGGTAATGGAAAACACAACAATTCGGCATGTAAAATTAGATCGACTTAGAAATTCTTAGAGTATATTATTAGTCGTCTTAGGCAAGTTTAACTGCACTGCTCTATTTATCATGTCTGATTGTCTTGTATTATTCACCATAGCCAAGATTTCTTCTTTCATGATGATATTCAACATCCATATTTTTGGTGCTTCACTTAGTTATTGTTGTACATACAGTAAATTCAAGACTACTGGTGTTATTAAATAAATATTTTGAAACACAATTTTACATTGCAAATAATTTATTACAAGTGTATTTTCTCACAGTTAATATAAAATTGTTTTACTGTACACAGATTAAAGCAGTCAGGTATTACAATATATATCACTGCATTTTACACACTCTATTATTATCAAAATATTATATATATGGATTTATAGTTACTATAGTTTATACCAATGTAAAGAATAGGGAAGAACAAGTTACATTTATTTACTGTACACAAAATTCTAATTCATACTGTATTAGCTTAATGTGTATAAGAGACAGGGCTACATTGCACCTTGATAGACTAAGTCACAGGCCTTTGCTGGCCTATCCGCATCAATAGCAACAATTTCAATTACAGACTAGGTCTGGAAGGTTACACACAATTGACTGGTCCAGATATACAAAAGCTCTAGGCCTGTGCTGACAAAATTTCCTTTCATGACTGATGAGATTGTCAAAAAAACAGAGCACAGTTGTCACATGAATTGTCAAGAATGAATCTATTTACATAAGATCTGTTGCATTAATGAGGATGGACTTATCAGGTATCTTCCATAACAATTTATAAATAATTCTTCCAACACATCATCATTATTTCATCATCTATAGCATCAAAAAACCCAGGGCAGTCTTCACAGATTCTGGGAACTTGTCCCTAATCGCCCACACATTACAAGATGGGATGACCCTTCTGTCAGATTTCTTTAGCCTGTTAAACACCTACCAAATGAAAGCCATTGATATCCAACATGTCGACATTTCCTGTAAGAAGTGAAGTACAATAAAAAGTTTGAACAGACTAGTTAAAAAAAATCAGAGTGACTATTCTTACACCATTCAAAAATAATTAGTATTGATATTACAATGTCTTTATAAGGAATTAATCATTCTGGCACTAATCATCAATGATAATTTTTGTTGAAAAGCCCATATTCAAATGCATTGCAAAGTGGTGTAACATAGCAATTACAGTATTTTATTAATATTAATAAACAATTATTTTGAAAAGAATTTATTATTTCATTAATATAATACTTTTTTGTAATATAAAAATAAAAATTAGTTTAAAAATTACAAATGAAGATAAAACTATATATGTATAATAGACTATCTTGTTTCTCAATCTTTTCTAATGTACAGTAATAATAATTCCCCTGTATTTTGAACATCAAAATGGCTGGACATTTGACCCTCTACTAGTTTTCGATCCAGCATGGAACAAGCAGGGCCACGCCTAAGGCGGGTGGTTATATTTCCGAAAAGAATGCCGAAAATTAGTCTTTGAACTAATCTGAATACTGTATATAACCATTGCCAATGTATTATGCAGAAGTAAAGTTCTGTGCACATTTTTCTAAGACATTTTCCGTGCAAATTTGAGCTAGCTTTCAAGGCATCATCCACATTCCACGACGAATAAACTGGCATTATAGTAATGCCTGTAGTAGTAGTTCCATGGATCTAATAATTAACATGTAAAATGCACTTTATTTAAAATAGTGTTGATTGTTTGTCTAATGTTTGAAATATTATAGTTTGTATATGCCTAGGCCTAAACTAGGGGCCTAGGTCGTGCCAGGCAGTTAGTATTCCGTATTCTCTACATACATACAGGAATTACTGCACTAAATGCTAGGCTATGCCTACACAGGTAAGACAAGTTGCTATTAAACAAACCTATTTAACGCCACTATTAAGATCACCACTTCCCAGACTTCCTTATCCAAACCAGGAAACATATCTTTTTGAAAGATTCATTCTTCAAAAATGCCTTCGACTTATTTTACTATTATTATTGAATATTTTCGCCAGTCCTAATTTTTCAATTTTCCGTTCGCGACGACCATTCTCATCAGTTGGCTAATGTCGTTACCAGCTCGTTACGGTTGAGTGAATCAGCTGACTCCCTGTCT